ACAGCCACGGGGAAGCACAGGCCGCACAGCCCTGTCTGACACCTTTATGGATATCAAAGCAGTCCGAGTAGACCCCGTGAATCCTAACACAAACACTAGAGTCCCTATAAAAAGACTTCAATGCCTGTATCAAGCCAGCGCTAAACACAAATGAGTTCAGTGTTTGCCTTAGCACATCGCTATCCACTCTATCATAGGCCTTTTCCAAGTCCATGAACGCACAAAAAACCTTTTGGTTTTTGGCCAAAAACTTCTCCGCGATCATGTGCATGGAAAAGACTTGATCTGTACATCCCATTCCCTTTCTAAATCCCGCTTGCACATCTCAAATTTTTCCATCAGTTTCTTTCATGACCCTTTCAATCAGTACCTTAGCATACAATTTTCCCACAATGCTAAGAAGGCTGATGCCACGGTAGTTTTTACAGTCCTCCTGCGACCCTTTTCCTTTATATACTGGGACTATCACGGCTTTGCGCCAGTCTACCGGCACCCGCTTCAGTTCCCAGCATAAATTAAACGAGGTGTGCAGCAGGCCTGCCACCACTTCCTCTCCAGCCCTTAGCATTTCGAGTGAAATCCTATCATATCCGGCAGCCTTACCTGCTTTCATGCTTTTCATTGCTTTCATTATTTCATCTATACTTATCTCGCTACCTCTTTCCTCTTCTTTCGGAGTTTCTACTTTATTTAGTTCACACGTTGTCTCCTCACTCATAGACACACTTTCAAAATATTCCTTCCATCTCTTTAAACTCAAAACTTCATCATTCAGAATATAGCCATTCTCGTCTCTTATAGCATTCATTATAGGCTGTTTTGAATGCCCCCTTTTTAATGTTTCTTTTTGTCAAAAATAACAAAACTACGGAGCATGAAAATTTTCTCTCCAATGCTGCGAAGAAAGTTTATACATTATTCGACTAACTTCATCTACTTGTACTCATAAACAGCTAACTTCGCAGTTACTACTCACCGACGTCAGCGCCGCTATAAATTCTACAATTTTCAAGGACAGGCGGGCTATGCTTTAGTACGTAGCGATCGTTCTCCTGTTCTTTAACCTCCATGATACTAGTCGTGAAGGTTGTCCTCTAACCTTCATGGTACTAGTGTTCTGTAGTCTCAGCCACAGAGTACTTTTTGTGGAGTTTTGGCGGGAACTTGGCCGGAGACGGATTGTCGCTTAAATAATGGTTTGAAGTGGATTTTGATTCGTAATAGTGATGCGATTTTGTGAATTAAGTGTCCGCGCGTGTGAACTATTAGAGAAAACGACGAAACAAGTGTATTTATGTCGATATAAACCTCAAGTTATTTTGATCGCTTGGACGCCTTATGAACTTAAGTGGCTGTCGTCATCAACTGTCCGCTGGATTGAGCTGTCGTCAAAATCTCCCAAGGGCTTCGCAATATGACGCATCAGCATATTGTGAAGAAAAAGAACATAAAATGAAGCGTAGACAGAGAATGCTATAGACAAAGTGATATCTTTTATCGCAGTCACACAAGAGAAAGAGCAACTTACGCCGATGTCATGTAAAGAAATGAGAAAGAACGATGAGATTTTTTGTTTCGCTTAGCGTGTCGCCATTTTTAATATTTAGCAAACCACTTTGCTAAATAAAGTTTGACAGCTAACGTGTAGCGTGATAAATTCTTTGTATAAAATACTGTTTTATGTGTTTTATGATAAGTATTTCATATTATATTTTGTTGTGAACAATTAAGACGTAGTATTCCAACCATTTTTATTTAAAAAATGGTGCGGTGTAGTGTATTAGGGTGTAAAAGTGATAGTGAAAGGAAAATGGCGGGGTTGTCTTTTCATTCGTAAGTATAGCATTCGTCACTAGGCAGTCTGTAACTTTTAATAAAATACATACATTGTGTATAATGTACTCTAGACGTAAATTCATCGCTAAAAAGTACAATAATAACAATTGCAAATTTTAACCTAAAATCTTCGGTGTGGCCAACTTTTCTATAAGTTATTACCCACTATTATAGGAAATAATAATATCTGCGTACCGAAGGTGTATTATCCTAAGTCCATTTTTTTAGACATTCACTTTGTAATGTCATTGAAACAAAAAAATAACGATCTACTTGGTGGTAAAGTATTTTTAAGTCCAACTAAAAAATCTACATACTTTCGAACTCGTTAACATGTTTTAAGTCCAGGTTAATTCAAAGGTATACAATCTGATCTGGATTTATGCTTTTGTTCCGCTCAATTATCAAAAACAAAAGCATTCTAAGTCCAAATACTTAAATTTTTTTATTACAATTTTATATTTTAATTACAAGACATAATATATAAGTATGTAAGTATGTAGATACTTGGATAGTGAAGTAAATTTCAACTACGTTAAGTAATAAAGTACATAGGTATTATTTCTGTAGATAAATTATTACCTCAGTATAATAAAAACATACAGTAGTACGACGCCTTACAGCCTAGACAGCGTATGGAAGTTAGGGTTGTCACAAATTAACAACTTTTACTAATTTCATTATTTATTTTATGACTACTAATATAAAGAATAAGTAATAATTTGTTCTTACATTTTTCCTGAAAGTACTCAAAACGCTAATTGCACGCCTCACAACATGAGGGAGTGCTCTACTCTCGATATGTGGCCATACCTCAGTTTCGACTCCTCCTCAAAATTGACATCCCTAACATTAAAAAAATGATGTCCACCATCTTGGATTTAAAAATAAATTCCATTTTCGTTATCAGCACCCCAAGAAACCTCGAAATTGATACCCATATCACATTATTAAAAAAATGTTAGCCATCTTGGTAATGAAAATGGATGTCAGTTTCGTAATAAGCACCCCAAGAAACACCGAAATTGATACCCATATCATTAAAAAAATGTCCGCCATCTTGGATATGAAAATGGATGCCAGTTTCGTAATAAGCACCCCAAGAAACACCGAAATTGATACCCATATCGTATCATTAAAAAAATGTCCGCCATCTTGGATATGAAAATGGATGCCAGTTTCGTAATAAGCACCCCAAGAAACCCCGAAATTGATACCCATATCATATTATTAAAAAAATGTCCGCCATCTTGGATATGAAAATGGATGCCAGTTTCGTAATAAGCACCCCAAGAAACCCCGAAATTGATACCCATATCATATTATTAAAAAAATGTCCGCCATCTTGGATATGAAAATGGATGCCGGTTTCGTAATAAGCACTACAAGAACCTCGAAATTGATACTCATATCGTATTATTAAAAAATGTCCGCCATATTGGATATAAAAATGGATGATAACATTTAAAAAAAGCAAGCGCGCGTTAACCTTGGAAGTCGTGTCCCGAGCTACTAATACGATCGGCATAAGCAGATCGGGCTCGTCCTTCCCACGTCTCACCCCACACACCCCGCACGATTGCCCCGTCTAGACGTCTTAGTCGGACGACTGTATGAATTTATAGACCGTGTTATTACTTAATTCTTTTTTACTATCAGTACCTATCTAACAAAAAAAATAAATAAATTCACCTTTCATAACTTGCTTCTAAAATCCTTCGGTAATTTTAAAGAATGATATATCTGAAACCTTTTTTTTGGGCATTTGGCATCCATCCACGCAACAATTATAGTAGGAGCGACGTTTTTCCATTAAAAATTATCAAATAGGTAAAATAATATAAATAACACTAAACAAAGACTATTTCAACAAGTATTTACAAAAAAAAACTAATTACGTAAACACCGTTAAAAAAAAGTTTATCGACCAAATTGGCGATATTTTGAAAATGGGCGACGTTAGAAGTACCCTTAACCGACGAGCATGTATCCGTAGATATATGGATGTAAAGGAGGCGAAAGAGGTATGTAAGGATCGTGCCAAATGGAAGTCCGTAGTCTCTGCCTACCCCTCTGGGTGACAGGCGTGAGTGTTTATGTTACGTTAAAAAACTCAAAACAAACATTCAATCGCCTACAACGCGCTAGCCCCGACTGCGTGCCTAGCGATTGTAGGTAATTATTTCACGCAGGTAGCAAGAGTGACAGAGGGCTGGTAACAGTTAGTTCAGTATCTTCTTTCTTCAATATTAAAACACAACCTACATAAATACAGCCCACTAAGCTCTCATTCATTACACAATAGTTTCTTTAAGTTTATTAGTCAGACAGATATCACAATTTTTAGTTTCTTCTTTCTTCACCACAGTAAATTATAATAAATAATTAGTCAAATACAGTCCACTTAGCTCTCCATCAACTACAATACATATCAATGATAATCGTTAATAGCAGTGTTCCATTTCAGGCTTACTTCACGTACTAATTTCTAATTTTATAGCTAGTTGTGGGGTAAATTTTTCCTCACACTTGTAACCCTAAATATAGTGACGTATTTTCTTTTGTCCCTTTCTGCGACACGCTATGGCGGAGTCTATAGGATTCTCTGTCTACGAAATGAAGATTCCCAAAGAAAGGATAGGCTCAGAAGGTCTAGAAATCAGAGCTGTAAAGCCAGTTAATAAAAAAAGTACTTTTTGTATACCTGAGTCTCATCCATGAAGTTATAGATAAAGATGGAGGCCACACTTGGAACAACAGCTTGAGTCAAATACCTACGTATTTTTATCTCACTCTTTGTGGTCTGACATCTCTTTTTAGTGTGGAATACAGTATTACTATGTTTTTATTTAAATCTCCTGGTAAATTCTTAAAAATAGTTTCCACACTAACCAAATCAGAAGTTAAGCTCTATAAAATAATGTACCAATAAATAAATAGTTGAACTACGATTAGTTACACTAAAAATTCCAAAATTGAAGGTCTCGTATGCATTTTTGGGTTAACGAATCAGTGAATTACAATCCCATTTCCTAAGGGTCCGGTAATGTGGCAACATTAGCCCTATATGTCAACATAAATTAGACAAATATGGCGGTTGTTTACTTAGCAGTTCACAGCGTTGTTTGAGATATTTAAAGTTAATTACTGTTATAATTCAAGAAATGGTGCAAACTTGTGTAGTGCGTGGTTGCGGCAGTAGTTGGCGTCCAGGAGGTGATATAAGATTTCATGGGTAAGTGTTTAAATAGTGACTTCTGGCATTGAATACTTGTAAGCATACTTCTTTGTATTTTCACTTAATTTTTTGCTGAAACGTTTTACCAGTATTTTAAACATATTAGTAAATCATAACTTTATCAAAATCAAATAGTTTTACATTGAATTTAATTGACTTTGAACAATTTTATTGTTTTTGTTTAAAAGAAATCGCACTGAAGTAGTGAGACCATATTAAGGATGTATCTGAGACTTTCCGTGTCCTTAACTAATTATATGTACATGTTTCTTATTATGTTACCAGAAATGCGTGAAATTTAGGAATTATATACAATTCCTATGTATTCTATATAATGACGGATTTCATAGATTTCATAATATTAAATTATTAATTAGTAACATAATAACATATTCTTTTTATTTAGTTTTTTTTAGGCAGACAATTTACTTTTTATTTAGTTTCTCATTATTCTGATACTTTAGTAACGTTTACAATAATTACGAATATTTTTTTTAGATTTCCTAAAAACAGTACTCGGAAAAATTTGTGGTTATCCATTGTACCATTGAAAATGAAGTATTATGAAAGTTCAAGGATTTGCAATTTGCATTTTCAAGAATCAGATTATGATTCAACAACAAGGCGCTTAAAACCAACAGCAATTCCTACTGTTATAATAAATCAAGAAACAGTATCACCAGGCAAGGTAAAAATTTAATATAATTTAATTATCTAATTTTTCGTAATATATTATATATTTAGAAATGTAGTAGTTAAATGTATGATATAAAGCAACATTTTGTAAAATATTGTTACGCACCTAAGTCGACGGCACTAGCGCCATCTAGTCTCGAACCGAAGAACTAAACTTCTTAAAGTTGAAACTCGAACTCTCGGTACCTTGCGCGTGTTTACTTGAATATTCTGGATAATTCGGTGCTAATTTATATTTATAGGCGCTGCAAGATGCGATCGGGGAAGTATTGAATTTGGCGAGACAAGCGAAGCTTCGGAGCGAAATAAAGTGAATTAGTGTGATTAATTATTAGTGTTTTAAGTTTTAATTTGTGTAAAGAAAATTAAAGTGTTAATTTAGGTAATTTTATCGACAATTTTTATTGTCACGAACCTCAAGCTCGTAACAATTGGTGTCAGAAGTGGGATAAAATCATGCCGATTTTACCTAAGGAGGAGATGGAGGGTGTCCGTACCCGAAGTCAACGCCAGCAGGAGACGGACCAGAAGAGATTTGGTGGTGCAACGCCACAGATGTCTGACGGCCAGCCGCCGGCCACGGAAGCCGGGCCGTCAGCAGCTCCCACGTCTGTGGCACCTGACTTAGGTGCTTTGATGGTGATGCTGCAGCAGCTGCAGCGCGGACAGGAGGAACAGGCCCGCTGATTGGAAGAGCAGATGCGGGGCGGACAGGAGGAACAGGCCCGCCGGCAGGAGGAACAGGCCCGTCGTTTAGAAGAGCAACTCCAACGCGATAAGGAAGAGCAGATGCTCCTTATGAAGGACCTTCACGCTACCTTCGGAAAAGAGATACGGGAGGTGAAGGATAAGGTTGCTCAACATGACAACCGCCTGTCGGAAGCTGAAACCGGAATCGACCAAGTAAACAATCGGGTTTACAACGTAATGGCTGACGTGAAGAAAACGCTGGACGACCTCAAACTTGGGGATGGAACAACAGCTCCCGTAGTAGCTACAACACCTTCGCTACGTGGATTCAAAGTGCCGCCGTTCGACGGGACTTCTTTCTGGTCGGCCTACAAAATCCAGTTCGAGGCCGTCATGGAGGCGAATGGCTGGAATAAAAGCCAAGCCATGACTGCACTCACCTCAGGCCTGCGCGACCAAGCCTTAACTGTGTTGGAAGCTCTCGGTAAGAAAGTGACCTACGAGCAGCTCCTTGAGGCGTTGGAGGCGAGATGTGGCGACGCTCACCTGGAACACGTTTTTCACGCGCAGCTTAAAGATCACGTTCAACGCAGCAACGAAAACTTGCAGCAGTGGGCCCTTGAGGTGGAGAAGATGGTTCGAAAAGCATACCAGTCTGTACCTGCGCTCATTGAAGGAAACCTGGTGCAGACATTCATCGACGGCATCCGCGAACTTGAAGTCAGAGCTGCTGTGAGGCTGGGGCACCACGAGACGCTTAAGGACGCCTTGGCCCATGCACTGGAGGTGGAAGCCGTGCGGCAGGATCTTCGCTCCTATCGCATCAGGGAGATTGCAGCAGCTACGGTACGCGACCGCAATAAAGGATACAGCCCTAGGTGCTATGGCTGTGGGGAAAGAGGCCATCTTCGATCCAGCTGCCCTAAGCGAACCGTAGAAAAGGAAGGTGGTGCGGCTACCAGCCCCGCCCAGCAGCAGCAGGGAAACGAGTAAAAGCCAGAACTGCGGGGCGGGTGCTGGCTGATGTTAAAAGAGCCCCAAGGATCTCGATCTCACAAACCCATGATGGGAACAGCCTAATCATCAAGGGCGAGATCAACGGAATGCCGTGTAAACTGACCATAGACACTGGAGCCTCCCGCACGGTTGTTAGTTCCCAACTTATAAGACAGTTCCTTGATGACTCCGCATTCAACCGAGAAGGCATTAATTTGGTAACAGCCACCGGTCAACGTATACCCGTCCGTGGAGAGAAGGAGATAGAGTTGAAGCTAGGCAACGTGATCTACCTGCATAATGTCATCGTGGCTGATATAATGGACGACTGCATCCTAGGCCTAGACTTTATGAGGAATAATTGTTGTGAGATCGACGTTAGGCATGGTGTTTTGAAATGTGGACAGGAGGAAATTTTTGTGGAAGGAGCGTTACCAGGGAACGTGTACAGCATTAAGAAGATTGTTCTTCCGCCGAGATCGGAAACGATTGTTCCGGTTAGTCTTCCTCGAAATGCTGGGCAAGCTCACCGTTGTGTACTTGTGGAAAGGGTAAACAATGACCTTCCATGGAAAGTAGCTCGAACCTTGGTCAGAACCACTGACATCTCAAGAGTACGTGTGCTGAACCTTTGTGACCGGGAACAGATTATAGAAAAAGGCACACTGGTTGGTACTTGTGAGGAAGTGGATTGGTTACGTCGGTGCCAATATATATCGAGTGGGACCCCCAGCAAGGATTCAGAAACGAGAGTGACCACACATTTGGAAGACTGTCGCAGTGTTCTCTCCCCGAACGAATTGGTCAAGGCGAAGAAGTTGTTACTCAAGTACGCCGATGTATTCTCATCAAACGATGCTGACATAGGAAAGACTGGCTTAGTTCAACACAAAATAAACACAGGAGAGGAATTGCCTATCCGTCAGCGGCCAAGAAGATTGCCGGTAGCACGTGAAAAGGAAGTGGAAACCATGATTGAGGAAATGGTGAACGATGGTGTTATTGAACCTTCATCTAGTCTATGATGCTCACCCGTGGTGCTGGTAAAGAAGAAGGATGGCAGCATGCGATTCTGTGTTGATTACCGCCGTCTGAACGACGTTACAAAGAAGGACAGCTATCCCTTGCCAAGAATTGATGACACGCTGGACATGTTTACAGGACTAAAATGGTTTAGCACGCTGGATCTAAAAGGTGGCTACTGGCAAGTTGAAATTGAACCTAAGGACAAGGAAAAAACTGCGTTCTCGACTGGAAAGGGTCTGTGGCAATTCAAAGTAATGCCGTTTGGGTTGTGCAATGCTCCAGCAACGTTTGAAAGGCTGATGGAGCTTGTACTTACTGGGCTAATTGGCGATGCCTGTCTGGTCTACTTGGATGATATCATCATCGTGGGCCGTACGTTTGAGGAACACCTTCAGAACCTGAAACGCGTGTTCATGAAGATTCAGAGTGCCAACCTCAAGTTGAGTCCGAAGAAATGTTCACTATTCAAACGGCAAGTCAACTTTTTGGGGTATGTAGTGTCGGAAAAAGGTATCCGTACGGATCCGGAGAAAATCACCGCTGTCAAAGATTGGCCGGTTCCAAAAGATAAGACGCAGGTTAGAGCATTTTTGGGTTTGTGCTCCTATTATCGGTGATTTGTGTAGAACTTTGCAGATATAGCCAAACCTCTGCACAAGCTAACCGAGGAGAAGTGACACTTCTGCTGGGATGAAAGTTGCAATATCGCATTCCAGGAGCTCAAGGACCGTCTATGCAAAACACCTATTTTGGGATACCCTGATGCAAGCAAAGAATTTATAGGTGACACAGACGCAAGTGATATAGGACTTGGCGGTGTGTTGTCTCAACGGAATGGTGACCAAGAGGTCGTGATAGAGTACTTCAGCAAGTCATTGTCAAAACCGGAAAGGAACTATTGTGTCACAAGACGCGAATTGCTAGCTGTGGTAAAGTCGTTGCAGCATTTTAGCAAATATCTTCTGGGGCGGAAATTTCACTTACGAACTGACCATGCTGCACTAAAATGGCTATTGCAGTTTAAAAATCCAGAAGGACAAGTTGCGAGGTGGATTGAACTACTGCAGGAATACGAATTTGAGATCGAACATCGCAGCGGGAAATCTCATGGCAACGCAGATGCATTGTCAAGAAGACCTTGTCCTGAAGATTGCAAACATTGTACTAGGTAAGAGAGTAAGGAAGTGGTATCCGTGAGGATGCTCAGGGCAGACCACCTCAGCAACGAGTGGAAGGACAGCTTACAACGTGCACAGCAGGAAGATCCGGACATCAAGCCGATTCTGGAGTGGATGAGGGCCAGTGCTCCCAAGCCCAAGTGGAGCGACGTCTCAGCGATGAGTTCGACCACTAAAAGCTATTGGGCCCAATGGCACAGCTTGTTGCTTCAGGATGGAGTTCTCTGCCGTAAATGGGAAAGTGTTCGGGGAGACAGCTGTCATTTGCAAATGGTTGTCCCTAAAGCTAAAGTACCGGATGTTCTACAGCTGTACCATAATGATTATTCAGGAGGCCATCTGGGAGTTAAACGAACTCTACTGAAGATCCGAGAACGGTTTTACTGGGTCCACTGTCGAAACGATATCGAGGACTGGTGTCGCAAATGTACAAGTTGTGCGGCTGTAAAGGGACCTCAGACTCTTAGTGGAGGTGCATTGAAGTTGTACAATGTTGGTGCACCATGGAAGAGAATAGCCATTGACGTGGTAGGGCCGTTTCCGGAAAGTGAAAGTGGTAACTAGTATTTCATGATTGTGATGGATTACTTCACTAAGTGGCCAGAAGTCTTCGCCATTCCAAATCAAGAAGCTTCAACAGTTGCAGATAAACTAGTTCATGAAGTCTTCTGTCGTTTTGGAGTACCTTTAGAGATTCACAGCGATCAAGGAAGGAATTTTGAGTCTCAAATATTCCAGGAAACTTGCCGAGTTATGGGTACTCATAAAACAAGAACGACTTGTTATCACCTGCAATCTGATGGAATGGTAGAACGATTTAATCAGACATTGGAGAGGTACCTAGCAAAAGTTGTAGACAATCGGCAACGAGATTGGGACAAGCACATACAACCGTTTTTGTTGTCATATCGAAGCGCTGTTCACGAAAGTACATCAGTGACACCAGCTTTCGCAAAACTTTGGGAGAGAATTACGCCTGCCTGCGGACCTGATCACCGGGATACCACCTGATGCTCCACGCAGTATAACCTATTATGCAAATGACTTGCGGAACAAAATGAATGACGTTTATGAGCACGTCAGGCAATCGGGCCAGCAAATGTCTGAAAAGATGAAAACCCGCTACGAACGCAAAATGAACAACAAAGGGTTCGACGAAGGTTCACTAGTGTGGTTGCACAATCCAGTCCGCAGCAAAGGGAAATCTCCTAAGCTTCAAGCTAAATGGGACGGCCCGTACCGGATTGTGACCAGGATCAACGATGTAACCTACCGGATACAGAAAGGCGCAAGAGGGACTCCTAAGATCGTTCATGTGGATCGCCTGGCGCGTTATCATGGGGCCGATAATGCTCAGGACGAGCATGTCTTAGGAGGGGGGCAGTGTTACGCGCCTAAGTCGACGGCACTAGCGCCATCTAGTCTCGAACCGAAGAAATAAACTTCTTGAAGTTGAAACTCGAACTCTCGGTACCTTGCGCGTGTTTACTTGAATATTCTGGATATTTCGGTGCTAATTTATATTTATAGGCGCTGCAAGATGCGATCGGGAAAGTATTGAATTCGGCGAGACAAGCGAAGCTTCGGAGCGAAATAAAGTGAATTAGTGTGAATAATTATTAGTGTTTTAAGTTTTAATTTGTGTAAAGAAAATTAAAGTGTTAATTTAGGTAATTTTATCGGCAATTTTTATTGTCAAAAACCTCAAGCTCGTAACAATATGTTATCATTTGCAGACAACAAGTGCATTACATGAAGAGTCTATTGTGCAAATAGCTGCTCTGGCTGTACCAAGCACTAGTTCTGACATTTATGAAAGTAGTTCTGCACTTAAGGAAACAAGAGTGAAACGTACTGCCTGTAATATTGAAGACCAAACTAGTAAAAAACAATGTCGAAAAATTCTTGAAAATTTATGCAATCTTAACAAGTTACCTGTAAGTTTCCTTTTCCTTTATTACTAAATACATACCTTTTATTTGTATTTATTATGACTTTAATATAACATTACATAATAAATTATATAGCTTAAAACACATACATATTTAAACTTTTTAGTGCCAATCGCTGTGTGGTAATCGTCACTACGACACTAAGCATGAAGCTTCTTGTTTGATGCTTAATTTATGCGTGCTCATGAAGGCGCGCTCCGGAGTATTCTTTCTGTCTATTAATGGTCTAATAACCTATTACGTGATGTAAATTTGTACTGACATTATGATGTAGAAGAGTTATTTGATTCTTTTTTGTTTGTTTGAGTTCTCTAATCTCCGGAACTATACCAGTCAGATATGAAAATATTTTTTTGCATTTTTAAAACCAATTCTTCAGGAAGATTATCTAACATCACGCTACGACCCTTATGAGCGGAGCAATACGATGCTAAAATTACCGATTTCACAAAGTTTTCTTGTTTTCTTAGGTCAGCAGTGAAGACGACGATCCCGTGAAGATAGATAGGGGCGTGCAAGTGAAAATAAAGTCTAGTAAAGAAGAAATACTTGAGAAGAAAACTAAGATTCTGAAGCAAAAAGTGGCGCGCCAAACTAAAAAAATTCAGGATATGTCTTCTTTAATTGCAACTTTTAAAAAGTATAAGGGTCAGTCAGAAATTGAAAATATTATTCAAGGGCGTTTTGCTGATATCTGTAAGGATTTCAAAAAGCCACAGAGTAATCCACATGGTTTTCGATATTGTGAAGAAGTGAAAGCTTTTGCTTTGATTTTGAATTTCTATTCACCTAAGGCTTACGAGTTCTCAAGAAAACATATAACTTTACCTCATGTAGAAACTATACGAAGATCTCTATCTTTATTTAACTGTAATGTTGGTTTCCTCTCTGAAGTACTGGAATATTTAAAAGAACAAGTTAAAACACCCGAAAAAATATATTTAAATAATGTTGCTTTAATATTTGATGGAATGGCATTAAAACAAAATTTGGCATATGATCAAAAATTAGACAAAGTAAAGGGTATGTGGATTTAGGACTAATTCCTGCAAGTGATCCAGAAAAATTAGCTTCCGAAGCCCTCGTGTTTCAAATAGTGTCTTACGGTGTACGTTTTAAGTGTCCAATTGCATATTTTTTTCTTGCAAATAACTTGTCTGGGGAACTGCTTTCCAAATTAATAAAAACCACTATAATTCTGCTTGACGAAATTGGTGTCACCGTAAGATCTTTGACTTGTGATGGTGCATCATCCAATGTAAAGGCTTATGAATATTTAGGCTGGTGTGGATGATGTGGCAAGAGAGAGCAGTGCGCGCGCACATATTCTTTCTCTCATAGCCAGTTACTTTTCGTAATTTTATTTCGTTTTGAACAATTTTATTAATCAATATTTTTTTCAATGCATTAAATCTTCCACTTTCAAAGTGAATAAAATTGTGAATTCATTTTAAAGTTCATGTTTTGAGAATTTCCGGATGAATAATAACAAATTATGGAAGGAAGCTGATAATAAATTTAAATATTTGTAGTAAATTAATACATATATGCATATATTAAAAATAAACATATATATATATATATATATAGACGGAGTTAAAGAAGTTTTACTTCAGTCGTGTGGTCATAAGCACACTCATTTTTTTATTCAATATGGATTATCAATAATATTTATTGAAAGTCACACTTTTGTATGATTACCACCAGTTCCGAAAAAAACCTCTGTCCAAGGAAGAACCACCAAGAAACCCAGCGAGGTTTTAAAAAAATAACAGCTTACAATCGTTTGTTGCACAATTAATCAACACAAAACAAATTAGGAATAGCTTGGTAGCGTAGCAACCACCTCATTTGCAGGGGTTATTATCATCCATAAATTCCATAATATTATAATAACTCTTTTTATATAAACTTAGTTTAATAAAGTTCTTGAACTTTGAGCAGGTCAGCATTTTGTTTTTTTTGTTTGTTTGTTTTTTTTTGTTTGTTTGTTTTTCGAGGATTTTGTTGTAAAAGCGTATATAGCGTAATATACATTGCCCCAATAATGAATTACTGACTCGGTGTAGTTGAGTAACTAGTACTAATAACTAGTGCCAGTTCCTAGTATTTACAAATGAATGTTACTTAGTTTTGTAAAACTACTTTTATTTTTGTATACATATATTACATTTACACAACTACATTTACATTTTATATGTGGTAGAGCCATGTTGCAGTTATATTAATAGTATAGTTGTGGCACAAATGGGTCGGCTTGACCGTAGTCCTCGACACTCTTACAAAATACAAGCATAATCTAGTAGCTTAATGCTGCTGTGTTTTGTAAAGTGAGTAGAGAACCGAAGACCCTTTTAACAGGAAACGATGCATTCCATCTTAGTCGCAAGCAACCACTTACCATCAGATGGACTGTATGTGCTAGTTTGTCACCCTATCCTATAAAAAAAAACATAAATATATTGAGAGGCCAAAGTGAACATGTTAATTTCCTAAAATTTTTATTTGAGGGACCTTAGATTTATTATGTTTGCAATCTTAGATTGCTCTTGTGGGCTTCTTCTGTAAAACAAATACAAAGTTTCTAAAACTATGTTAGAATTTGCAGTCATTGTAGCAAATAATGTATAGTGTGTCAATAAATAAATAAATAAAAATGATTTGGAAGCAATATATTAGCATTAACTCTTCTGACATTAATACCTTTATATTTCAGAATGATGCCTAAAATTCTAGTCAATGTGTCAAGCCCTGCTGGTCCACATCGGTCTCCCCTGTGATAAACTGATAAATTTGTAGACCCCTCCAAAGAGTATAGTAACATTTAGAAGGGACCTCTCAGAACCACAGAGCATGTTATATTTCTCAAAACCATAGATAAAAGTGCTCAGAACAATTCTTTTTAAAATTTTATAAGAATTATACAACTAAAATTCAAAAACATATTTTTGTATTTTTGGAATTTATATTATTATTACATTTATATTTCATTAATTTTTATGTATATTTACACATTTGTTTCATTAACTCTTCGAGCCTCATGAAGACACAAATGTTTACAAGTGTACTACATATATTTTGTGTAGTGGATATTTTTACTCTGTCACTAAATGGTTTCTTTTTAAATATAATTTTTTTTTATTTCCTTGGTTACTTCAGAATAAGGGTAATATTGTTCGAGTGTGTGTGTATGGATTCCTCTTCTGTTGGCACACTCTTTAGCCTACACTGCTTGATGTACTCGTATTTTAACATATGGGGTACAGCTAGATTAGTCTCGGTTGTGGAAGTGACGTATATTATTTGATTTTATTCCTTTCAGTAAACTTGATAGGTTTTGTTATTTATTACTGTTTTAACCAGGATGTTGATCGAACGTCCAATGTAATTATATATATATACTTCCAATGTAACTATTGTAATCTGTTTGATGTCTTTTTTTACACACAATGATAGTTTTTGAAATAATAAAATTACCTCATACCTCTCTTTATAGTCAGTCACCTGCATCCATCGACTTCCTGGATATTTTACCAGGTCGTCACTCCATCTAGTGGGGGGTCGCCCTACACTACGCCTACCGGTACGAGGCTGCCACTCGAGAACCTTTCTTCCCCATCGGTTATCGGTTCTTCGAGCTATATGGCCGGCCCATTGCCACTTCAGCTTACTAATCCGTTGGGCTATGTCGGTCACTCTGGTTTTACTGCGGATATCCTCATTTCTGAGTCTATCACGCAGAAAAACTCCGAGCATAGCCCTCTCCATAGCTCGCTGAGCGACCTTAAGCGTCCTCATACGGCCAGCAGTGAAGGACCACGTCTCAGATCCGTAAGTCATCACTGGCAACACGCACTGGTTGTACAATCTAGTTTTTAGAGATTGAGGTATACCTGACGAAAAGATATGTCGTAATTTCCCGAATGCTGCCCAGCCGAGTTGAATCCGTCGATTGACCTCTCGGTCGAAGTTGGACTTACCTAGTCGGACTATTTGTCCCAGGTCGTCAACAACAATATATATATATATATATATATATATATATATATATATATATATATATATATATACATTGTCTGCTTGACGCTGCACATATGTTAAAACTCGCTAGAAATGATTTGGCCGATTTTGAAATGAAGTCAAATACCGGCTATATTTCGTTTAAATATATCCGAAAATTACACGAAATACAAAGCAAGGAGGGGTTAAAATTTGCTAATAAATTAAGCGCTTTACATGTAGATTTTGAAAACAAAAAATGAATGTTAGGCTTGCTGCGCAAGTACTTATTTCATCTGTTGCTGATGCAATAGATTTTTTGAGGATTAGTGGTCATCCTGACTTTCTAAACAGCGAAGCGACGACAGAGTTCTTGCACATGATAGATAGACTTTTTGATCTCATGAATCCAAAGTCACCATTTGGAAAGGGTTCAAAGTCTCCATTATCGTTAAAAAACAAACGTTATTGGGAACCAATATTTAATGATACTGGAATGTTTTTAAAATCGTTAACAATAATGGTAAAGGTATTTTAAATCATCCCAGAAAAAGTTTTTATTAGGGTTTTTAATGAACATAAATGGTTTATCGTTACTTGTTAATGATTTGTGTACACTAGAGCAAAATCCAATTAAATATTTGTTGACTTTTAAATGTTCGCAGGACAACTTGGGACTTTTTTTTCCTGCATTAGGGCTCGCGGTCGGGAACAAGCCCTCTCGAGTTCCGCTACATAATTAGGAAGATGTTGTTCAGACATTCCATTCAACCATCCGTCAATGCCAACTGCATAGAAAATGGCTTTGAGATAACACACGTCTTCGATTTCTATAAACAGAAAAGTTTGTTTCATTCTCGCGAAGAACATGAATATCAACAAGACGTTGAAAATATGTTTCAAAATTTAGAAAAGATTCATGCTAGTCCATACCAGGAAAATATATAATATTATATAACTGGTTACATTATAAAACAAATTCTTACCCGCATTTCTTGTGAACATTGTAATAATGCGTTAGTAGCACTTAACTATGTGTCAACAGATCATTCATATCATATGAATGTAAATAAATTTAATTCATTTATGACGTTTGTGAACCGAGGAAAACTTTATTTTCCTTCGGTAGCAGCTTACAAAATTGTAAATATAGTCACCAAGTTTTCCAACGAGCTAATTTGATGGGCCAACTTAGTGCCAATAACATTGAATACAAATTAATTAATGTCGTGTCACAACATTTTACTTCTCTATTGCAGGAAATGTTTTATAACCACCCGATCACGGACTTAATTAATTGTAATGATTTGCATGAAACTATGATAGTTAAGAAAATAGCTAATTCATTTTTTAATATACGTGTATACGTGCTCACTTAAAGAGTCATACAGAAAATATACTTAGTGATTTACGTGGTAAGAGACAGAAACTACACGGAGCAATGATATTTAGTCATGTATAATAGACAATTTTCAATAAATGATTTTAATATGCAAAATGTTTTTATTTATTTTTTTGAGGTTTTTTATATATTACCATTCCTATTATAGTACTTATGTTACTAAATATCTATGAAATCCGTCATTATATAGAATTCCTAGGAATTGTAGATAATTCTTAAAATGAACAGGATGTGTGGAATATAGTATTGTACACATTTCAGCTCAGAGCAGCCTGACTCTGATGGGTAAGGTCAGAAGTCTAAGGCAGGAGCTCCGCTAAGCTCTTTTAGTCTTCGTGATATTTTTTTAATAATAATTGTCCAAAAATAGATTTAGTCTGTCTGAACAATAAATCAGGTATATTTTGCACAATTCATGGAACACCCGGGGTGTTACAATAAATTTTAATTTTATGTTTCGTTGGTACCGTTTAGGATTGGATACAATAACTAGAAAATACATTATCGAAATGGTAGTTATAAAATATTCTCTGATATATTTATTTTCCACATTTTCTAAATAGGCTCGGCATTATATGGGTTGTAACGGAAATGCGTGGTCATATTTTAAATACCGGTTCTGTCCATGGAAATGAAAGCCTTTCTTCGTAAAACCAGTCAATTCCCAAAAATTGTACAAAAATATATTATCTATATAGGCTAGATCTTAGTAGTAAACAGAGATGTAGATATTTAAAATAAACCACTTAATGTAATGCAACTACTTATAGCGATATCTATATTTTTATTACCTACTTAGAAAGAGAGGGTCTGCTCACAGAGAGCGAGATAGTAAAGCTTCAAGTAGGTATTCGGAGTGTGGTCTCCATCCTTATCTATAACTTCATGGTCTC